TTCCCTGAATTTTTGCGCCCTTAAAAATTCCACGACCTCCGCCGGGTTTGAACCCGCGTACCTTGAGTCATGAGGTGGGAACGTTACCCCTAGACTACGGAGGCCGCTTTACAGTACAGTATATCAGCATTCCGAAGAAGAGGCGGGGGAAAAGCACAAGACACAGATATCCAGTAATACGACCGATGTTCGAAACAAGAATCTCCCAAATACGAGTTCAAGAGCTATCCTACTAATGCATATATATTGTAGCAGGAACTTTGTTTTCCAACATGAGGTTGCGCTATGTGCTTCCGCTTCTCTCTGCGTGATGATAACAGCATTACATCTGTTTCTTGATTGTCTGAAAGTGTTAGGCTACCATTTGATGGTCCAGTCATTGAATCACTCCTCTTGACTTCTCTGGAAATCCCTCTTCCAATATCGTACGAAGTACCCCATTTTGCTATAGTGCACCGTTTTGTACACTGTGGATGTGTTGGAAGGAAACAAACAAAGAATGAAGAAAGACAAAGGAATATAAAGAAAAACTGAAACAAATAAGAATGAATGAATGCAAAGTTATTCATCATTGTTTACAGTACTGGATTTTATTACGCGCTCGTCCGAAGATACATGGCTCCACCCACGAAGGATGAGGTAACAACTGGATAAAAATAAAGTAGGTGAGTCCGAAAGTTTCCGCTGTGATTTATTTTAAGGCTTGTTGCGTTGGCTGCACTGCGCATGTTGCACCCAGGTGGAAGTGACAAGGAGCTTCTTCTTACGGTGATGCAGTTAAGGGGGTTAAGATGTATGTTACATGTAAGACGTATGAGAGAGCAATTGCAAATTTTTACACGGTGTACAACGTGGGGAATACAAGTGTAGATTGAAGAATACTATTAAAAACGATCATGGAGAAACAGGATGTGAACGTAGAGACTGCATTAAAGTGACACAGTAAAGAATGCAATGGTGCACTTCTGTGCATTAATTCCGTGGCCTGTAGTCCGCAAGCGAACTATACCGACCGAGTGACCGCCGCTTGTCAGCGAAGTTAGTGCCAACTTTTGCGGATAGAGGCTGTCACGTGATCAGCGCAATGGATCCCCACGGCCGTTAATCTCGGATTTATAGACCGGAGCCGCTATTTCCTTTAAATAACTCCTCAATTATCCTCGCGAGGCTGAGGTGGACCCCGTTGCAAACCCACTACTTCTCAGAAAATCTGGTAGCGCCAGGAATCGAAACCGGACCTCTGGATCTGTAGCCAGGAACTCTGACCACGAGTGCATTCTTCCAATTCATTATTCACCAGGCATCCTACTATTCGACACTGTATGGCCCGAAACATTGTAAGCGTCGTAAAACAAGTCACAAAAGGAACAGGAAATACAGTTTCCATCGTTCTTTGGAAGCCAACAGTGATAGGGGGCCTGGGTGGTACAATTTATGCAATCGTGCTTTTTGGACTGCGAACTGGTTTTCGGTTTATTAATAATAGAGGCTCGTGAAGTGTGAATGTCAGCTCCGTTTCTACTTTGTTTTATTAACGTGAACTTTGTGCCCTTGAGCCACTCTTCCGCATTTCTAGCCTGTTTTATAGTAGGCTATCACTTTCTCCTCTAGTGGTTGTATTGAACCGATAGGAACCCTTAAATTCGCCCCCTACCTTTTCTTGCAGACCACGCAAATACGACAAAAACAAACTCCGTGGCGAACTATACCGACCGAGCGACCGCCGCTTGTCGGCGAAGTTAGTGCGCCTCTGTGGCCAGATTTTCTGAGAAGTAGTGGGTCTGGAACGGGGTCCACTCAGCCTCGTGAGGATAATTGAGGAGTTATTCCAAGGAAATAGCGGTTCCGGTCTAGAAAACCGAAAATAACGGCCGTGGGGATTCGTTGCGCTGACCACGCGACATCCTCTAAAGTTGGCACGCTAATCCAACATTTAATTGAAATTGTTATGTGGCTTCGGGGATGAAGTAGGCCTAAGGCTGACAGGTTGACACTATCTCATCGGTATGGGCTCATTCTATGAACCTGTTATGTACCAAGTGTTCTGAAATTGTAGTCGTGCAGACCAATAATTTCTCTGGAGACGGAAAGCCGACAGTGTTAGAAGTAGGCCACAACAAACTTCCTGTCCCGCAGTCGTGCCAGTATTTTACGAAATACTGGCATATCATCTTTCTGTACGCGAGGTTAAGCGGCAGATGTCCTTCGAGAATTACTGCTACATCTGTGGACATTAGCGTCCCAGGAATGTCACAGATGTGCCAACACCGTGGTACCCACCTAAGCAGGACTCTCAGAACCTGCATGAATAACCTAGGCCAGTATGTCCTTCGAATTTACATTCTATGTCAGTGGACCAGACCAAATAAACTTCATATATCCTTGGTACTGACCAGTACTTGAGGACACATTTTGACAATTTTGCGTATTATTTCATTTACGCCAGGAAACGAACCGTGCCCGCTGTTCAGTCGGTTGCGCTGAACCTGGTGCATTTCGTGAACTCGTGGTTACGTAACGCATGGTGAGAACGTCAGCCACATTAAAACGATGACGTAACGCGATTCCGAGAAGCAAAGCGTCGGGCGTCATGTCCACTCCCTACATACGAGCCCCGTGAATCATGTAACATCTGTCGGTCTACCCGAAGACCGTGGACCGCTTGCGTAGGTTGGCAGTGCTGTTTAATTTCGTGCTGTTCTGAATAGCTTTTTCCTACCCATGGTTTCGTACGAAAAAAGAAATAAAGAAGGAATGAAGTAAGAAAGGACGAAAGAAAGAGAAAGAGTGAGGAAAACGCATGACTCCGAGACGCAGCAAGTTGTAATGATGATCCAAGGTGGCCAGACGGTGTCGTCGCGAAAGCACAAGGACGCTTGTGGGTTTCCTTCATGCAGGCGACAGTTCGCTGTGACGTGCATTTATTTGAAATTTGCTGGGGAACATCTATTTCAGCATTACATGGGTTCCTGTCCTCGGACTGTGTAGTACCAAATCCCGTTATTTTACATTACGACAGCCCAGGGGGATGCTAACCGACCAACTGTCGGGCTCGCTGAACAAATCGCTACCTACGAACTAATTAACTTATCAGATTGGGATAATTAACACCATGGAGGAGAGTTCTCCTTGGAAAGGTCTTTAAATACGTAACACATTTATGGGACCCGAAGGTTCAGTACTGTGTTCTCAAGAGCTCACCACTATATGCCATCCTGAGCCAGTTGAATCCAGTCCACACCGTCGCATTATAAAACATTAGTTAATTCCTCATGCTCCCTCTGGAGCATAGGGCATTTGTGAAACACCGTTTCACTGCAGTTCTTAATCTTAAAGGCAGTTGGTAGGACTCCTTGGATGAGAGATCAGTTCGTCGCAAGGCCGTTACCTGCACACAGAACACACAAACACAGAATACGATGAGAAGCCATAATGTTTTAATTATCACCATGAGAAAATCATAATTCCATAATATCGTTCTATATAGGAGATAGCCCATTTCCTGAGCTTGCAGAACAGTCAAATTCTCCCGCGCCAAGTGGACAGAGGGAGCCACCAGAAGGGGCAGAAGCAAAATGGCGATGTTGGTTGAGAAAGTGGAGGCTCGCGCTGTGATACGGTTCCTGCATTTGCAAGGGAAGTCTGCCAGGGAGATCCACGACCAGATGACTGCTGTGCATGAGGAAGGTGTACCATCATATGACACAGTGGTCAGGTGGAAGAGGCGCTTTCATTGTGGACAGACAGACCTTGAAGATGAACCCCGAAGTGGAAGACCGTCTCTCCCTGAGGAACCAGGAATTGTGGTACAGTTAGAAGCTTTGATCCCATCCGATAGGCGCATAACTATTGAAGCTATTATTCATGAAGTCTGCATTAGCCACGGGTCGGTTTTCAACATCATCCACGACGAGTTACACATGACAAAGGTCTCTGCACGTTGGGTGCCATGGTTGTTGACAACAGTTCAAAAACCGCAACTGATGGATGTGGTAAAGATACTTTTGCAGTTGTCTCAAGACGAAAAGGTGGAATTTTTCGGCCGCCTGATCACGATGAATGAATGTCGGGACTAACATTATGACCCTGAAACAAAGGAAATGAGCAAGTAGTAGAAACATGCAGACACTCTGCCACCAAAGAAGGCCAAATCCCAGCCTTAATCAGGAAAGGTGATGTTGAGCGTGTTCTGGGATCGGCGGGGTGTCATGATGACCGACTACGCGCAAAAGGGCGTCACCATCACTGGCGAGTAGTACCGGAACCTTCTGAGAAAATTACAGGAGGAAATAACGAAAATGCGACTCAGAATACTGCGAAAAGATGTGCGATTTCTTCACGACAACGCACCGGCTCATGCTGGTCATGCTATGATGACACTTGCTGCCAGTTTGGGATATGAAATTCTCCCCCATCCACCGTATTCACCAGACCTGGCACCGAGCGACTCCATCTTTCCACGGCTAAAGAAGCCACTTCATGGTATGCGATTCCAAGATGATGATGACGTCATTTCTGCAGTGGAGGACTTCTTAAACAGTCAAAATGAGACCTTCTATGGTCAAGGTATCCAGCAGCTAATGCATCGTTGGGGAAAATGACTCACATACAATTTCTTGCATCTGTGTCTCTGTTTCTTCTGGAAGAAAATTACAATTTTATGAGTTCCCCACGTAAACGCACACAGACATCCGTGCCTCGAGTGGGATGGCAACGATCCCAGTGTCCGAGCGCGAAGACAGTTCATGCTCGAGACGGCTCGCGACCCCTGGGATCGGCGTTCAGAAACATTAATTTCGGTTAACATTTCCACACCATTTTGAGAAACCCCGACGTGCATTACTGTGTTCACAAGCGTCTGCCACTGATAACTACCCTGAGCCGGTTGAATCCAGTGCACACTTTCATAACCTAAGTTACTACCTGCCACAACATACGAGTACGTATACATCCGTGTCACCAAAATAGTCTTTTCCATTTCGTATATACAGTCTTGGCTTTTGTAGGTTTGTGGTTACTAATAAGGAAATTAGGAAACAAATCCATGATGCACGGGCTACTAGTAACTCCTCATTATTCTTCTGCAGACCCCAGCCACCTGCTCACGCTGGTTTCTCGCTCGCGGAGTTTTCTACCCTGAAGACGGAGGCGATACGTTCCTCCGAGATGTCGGTTTGCACAAGATTTACACAGTGCCACATCCCAGAAGGCGGCATTCTTCATAGTCACCGCCGTGAAAACCTCAAATCTTATGATTTATTTTTTTGTTCACATCATACCTTTGCACAAGAATGTGTAGTCGCTCCATCACTGAGTCCAGAAACGTTCCCGTCCAGCTAATTAAATAAAATCTCTTAAATTCGTCACTGCGTTACATGTTTCGGCCTACCCGGCCATCATCAGAGGCGTTGAAATCGAGGCGAACTGCCGTGCCTTCCGCATTACTGCAGTCCGTGTTTTCGTATTTTGTTTTGACGAATTTTAAAATAATTTAATTTTAAATCTTAACGTTGTTGCATAGTGGACAATAAACAGACCCAGAAATAGATTCTAGTAGCAACTGCAACAGGATGCTAAAATACAACATTGTGAATCGAATCTGTATATTCGCTTCCTGCAGTTCTGTCTCAGATTTCAGCGTTATCCTCCATTTTGCTGTGACTTGGTCTTCCTACTGGTTCGATGACCGTGTCGTTGAACCCTTGCCTCGTTATAGTTCTCCAGAAACATTTTATTCTACATGACATCTTAAATCAAGATGGAGGATATCGGCGAGTTAGCTGAGTTTTAAAATATTTCGTGCACAATGAAGTCAAAACACTGTAAATAACGATTTTATTTTCTGTTCCAGTAGATAGCGCTGGTGTAGGGTTTTGTAACATGCGAACTTTATAAACCGGCGATGCTGACCATAGGTTCTTTCTGCACATAGTCTTGCGTCAGCGTAAATGAACATGTCATCACTATAAGGCAGCGTCTACACGATCGCACAAAATGCGTCCGTTGTAACGAACGTCCTGTCGTCCGTTGTAGAAATAAACAAGAGAGGCGAAAGCTACGCTTTCTTCTGGCTCCATTGCTGACACGAAACTACGCACCGCATTCTGCAACTGTGTGGTGACCTCAGCAAAGTACGTTCGTTACAACGGACGCGTTTTGTGCGCTCATGTAGGTGCTGCCTATAAGGTTTTATGCGTTCTTTGTACGCCCGTAATTCTTAATTTGATACAGAACTGTACCCAAGGGAATATACAGGGAAAATGGATTTTACTGAAGATCTGTCGTCTCATCCAACATAGGCCTCGTGGAATGGCACTGCATAGGGCACACCTCATCGTCTACGGCTCACGTGACTATAACAGTGCACACCTCATCATTTACGGCGCACCGCACGTGAATATAATAGTGCACACCTCATCATCTACGGCGCGCCACACGTGAATATAATAGTGCACACCTCATCATCTACGGCGCACGTGAATATATACAGTGCGACAAATACGAGAAAGTAACTTCTTGCTTCAGGCTTCGGGATAGCTCAGTCGGTATAGCGACGTGCTACGAACTGGTCGGTCCGGGTTCGATTCCCGTGAGTGCAAGATTTTTCTCTTCTCCACTGCGCCAGGGCCGACTTTGGGGCCCACCCAGCCTACTGTTCCATTGGTACTGGGTGCTCTTTCCCCCGGCGTAAAGCTGGAGGGGCGTGATGCTGACAACTCACCCCCATCTAGTGCAGAGGTCAAGAAGGGTGGAGCTGTACCTCCACTCGCCCATACGTCTTCATGGCATAGTGCTCAACTAATTAAGCGCAGGGACGACTGAGCCCTTTTTACCTTTACTTTTTGCCCTGTTTATATTCTGAATTCTGTAGAGTTGTGAAGCCACGTGAGATGCGTATGCAATCCTTGTGCTTCGTGAGGCATATGGCACAAAGAGGGGAGCTGTCATTCCTCTGGCAACGGCTGACTTGGTCCGCTGAAAGCGAAAGGAGAAGAGAAGATGCAGCGTAAATATGGAATGGAATTAATCATGAACTGATGAAAGTGACTGGCATGTCCGCTCGAGGAAAAAGAAAAAGGTATTGAAGGGAGAACGGAAGAAAGGGGGAAAGAAAATATAAAAGAAACAACATAAAAAAAAGAAAGAGAAACGTAAGTGTGAATGTGGAAAGAGATAAAAAGAAAAGAGAAAGGCGGAAAGGAAGAAATATCAATCTGCAGCGTTTTTCTTAGTTTCTTCTCATTTTCTCCCACGAAGTGGAAGTCTTCCGGTATGTGACGCCGTGTCGGTACTGTGGTCACGGCCGTGAGCACCGTAAAGTAGTGCGCGGCATCTCGTTCCAAATATTATTCACCATTTGCGATTACGGCCCGGTCCACTTCGACATTATACAGCGTGATTCTAAATTATTGTCGGTGTTTCCGTGGCCTATAATTTTCAAACCGCAAAAAAACAAAACAGAACTCCTTACAGAATATGAAAATATAACGCAAAAAAAGTTTCATTTGGTAGCGCTGTACTCACCGCATTGACGTCTGGAAGAACATATGACGTCATACCTAAAAATGGCGGCTGTTCATGAGAAATCAATGTGCGTTCATCGGTTTTTCGAAAGACAGTCCGACAATAATTTAGAATCAGTCTGTATAACCTGTAGTTAGGGCTGGGCAGAGCTCTAGTGTCGCCTCTGGCTCTGGGGTACACCCATTCTCAAGTATCATTAGTCCCGAGGTCTTTTTCCCTGGCGGTAAAAAGCGTCGGGAACGTGGAGCTGACCACTCACCTCCATCTGATGTTGAGGTCTAGGCTGTGTGGAGCTAAACTGTAGTGCCCACTGCATGGCGCAATTCGGTTACTTCAAATGCGTTGCTTCTCTTGCTATCAATTAAATTGTGCTGTCTTACAACCCTCCAGTAATATCTTGTCTCATTATGCTAGGCACTGGAAGTAATACGTTTCCCCGAAACGTCGGAAACTTCTACACGGCATTAAAATCGAGAACACTGCAGACAGATGAAATTTGGTTAGTTTTGGATTAGCGTTACAAAGCCACGCGTTTGTCTTTTAAGTGAAAGAAACCTTTCTCTGAAAAATATCTTGAGTTGACATCAGGACCGGTGACGTAGGTGGCTTCATACAGTGCCTGACGTTTCTAAATATAACCTGACGATGGTCTCGTTGAGAGATCGATAACATGCCTACCACAGCCCTCCACGCTGCTTACCAGAATTGACAAATCACACAGTTGTTAACCTGCTTCCATGTTTGGTACTTGAAGGGTGGCTGTACCGTAGTTTAATTATGTGTTACCACGTACTTGAATTATTTAGTGACCGCCGTACTCGTGGGCCTTCGCCTCGTACACCTTATCCTCCGTTCATTTCATTGCCCTAATGAACAGTAAAAATTACAAAGTTTCTCAGTATGTAGTTTCTATGCTTACTGTTATGTCTTTTCTCGTAGGCCCCTGACCGTTAGACACGGCTTATTTCGCCTTCACAACTCTGGCGAGGACTATATTCTGGGATGTGACACATGTAGAAGGATCCCTACGTTTCGGAGGAACCTATTGCCTCCAAAGTTAAAACGTAAGTCGAGACCTACTCTTCGTGATGTTTGCTTACTTGGCTTCCTCTTCGATCCTGAAGATGGGGCAGTACGTACCTCAGTTAAAAGACATTTTCCATTCCTGGATTGTGAGTTGTTTTGATTACGTGACTTGAGCGTTAAAGTTATCCTAGTTTATTTATTTATGTTTGTTTAACTACGCCTTCATTTCCTAAGGTTAAACAGCGTCGAATGATATAATGTTTAGTAAATAAATAACGTGTAAACAAACTCCGTGGTTTTAGTCCGCAAGCGAACTGTACCGACCGAGCGACCGCCACTTGTCGGTGAAGTTAGTGCCAAATTTAGCGGATAGATGATGTCACGTGGTCAGCGCAACGAATCCCCACGGCCGTTAATTTCGGTTTTCTAGACCGGAGCCCATATTTCCTTGAAATTATCCTCACGAGGCTGAGTGGACCCCGCTCCAGACCCACTACTTCTCAGAAAATCTGGTAGCACCGGGAATCGAACCCGGGACCCCTGGATCTGTAGCCAGGAACTCTGATCACTAGACCACAGAGGCAGTCAAAATAAATAACATGTAGTCTAATTTGTGTGGAAGGAAATTAACCGAATTTGAGGTTGGGGATTAGTGGGTTTTTTGACCTATCCATTGTCCAGTATTCTAAAGAACACGACTTTTCGGAAAACTGGACCTGTTTCCGTCCTCATGTGAGGGGGTGGGAGACACCTAGTGTGTCGGGTCAGTTAGAAAGACCTAGCCGCAAGAGCTGGTTGAGTGACAGGTTAGAAACATTTTCCGAAACGATGGACAGAGTCCAAAAACCCAGCCATCTCGAGTGTTATACACCGTCGTCAGAACCCTATAGGCTCTAAGTTGAGGTTATATCCTGGAATTTGCTTATAGGAACCAAGAAAAATTATAAAAGACATCGGTCATAATATCCGGTCACATGGCCGGGATTTGAACGCGTGACCTCCAGAATACCAAGTTATGTTCGACGACTGTCTTAATTCTGTTCGTACATTTCGTTTCGCCTCTATGTCCGAGGGACACAGCCTGTAAGTGAAGGCTTCTTCGAGAGATGCACGTCACTGCCATTCAAGTGGCTTTCGTTTATTTCACATGAGACTATGGCTGGGGGCGCCTATAATGCGACCTTCACTTGACTTGCTATTTTGTGTCCTTTTTTGAGTGATGAGTTTTGCAATGGGCTTACAGAATTGTAAGATGATGTATGTAATAAATAACGAAGAGTGTTTTGTGGTTTGAATCTTAGAGAACGTTTAACTAATTTATTAATTAACCAGTGCGTTCCAGGGGCTTTTTCCCCTGCAGTAAGGCGGCTGGAGCGTAGAAGTGGCCACTTATTTCAACTAGTGCCGAGGTTAATTATGCGTTAATTTATACGTCAACCTTCCTTCACTTCTTCATTGCGTGGGGCGTAATTATGAATTAAGCACGGGGAAGACTTTATGTTTTGCCTTACCTCTTATTTAAATATATGATTTTCTTTCTCTTTCTTTGATGTCTCCGAACCAAAATGTTGTGTACACGTTTCACACTACCCCAATCTTACATATCTCATCCTCTTTCAGTTAATCATCCCAACTAAATAAGTCAAAGAATAGTCCGTACAAATTATGAAGCTCCTCCTGTGTATTGCCACCTGTATTAGTGACTGTAGACGGGGTTTGGATTGCTAATTGAATTTATTGGCCACTTACAGGTCGTAACTACAAATACTTATTACACTATTGCTGATTTCCGCACTAGAAATCACTCCGCATTAAGTTTTCTAACTCTGAGTCGTTGCTTGGAAACAGGTCCCAACAAATGCAGAGTTTTCACTACGTGTTTCCTGGTAACGAATCTTAGCTATGGAGATTCTTCAGCTTCCATTGTCCGCTGGTTAACATTCCACAACTGAACCCTCAACTCAACTACTGAACTTAACAGCCAGCCTCGGAACTCAACTGTCTTATAACCACTTTGCACGGACCCCACGGAAAATAGCCCCTGTTATTGACAGAGTGTTTATCGCGCCGTTACCTAGCAATAGATGCCCTCTTGTTCCACACGCTTACTTCTGCGGGAATGTGTTTAGCGACCCGTTGCCTAGTCATGGCGCAGACTACATAGAAAACACTTCTTGCAATACCTTTTCTGTTGTGTGAAATTATTTCGGGCGTTGCCTCTAAATGGGTCTACATGTCACACTATTTTTCTTCTTCTCGTACTATTCGTAGAAATTAGTATTAGGAACGTTCTGGGTTTGGACCCCTGATCTGTGGTGGTGGAGAGAAAAATGTGATTGATCTTGTTGGGATTTGAACCTAACTCGTCCTAAGAATTTCCCCAGTAAAGAAGCGAGTCATCAATACCAATTTAGCAAAAGCTTTGTCCTCCCTATACAATAATACTGTACTGCACTTTCTTCATTGTACAGTAGTGATCACCTAAAACGGTGACCACGGAATGCGTTCTTCAGTGGGTCGAGCAGGGCACATCGTGGCCACGGATCCTCAACATTTACGTGCAGCTTCTGTATTAATCTCGTGTTGCAGTGTTGCAGATCTACTGATACATCACGAATGGCGTTTACTTCTACTCGGGAGTCGAACAAGACAGGAACAGCTGGAAGAGAACCAGTGGAGAATAAATTCTGCAGTTCATATTTGCTATACAACTGCCAATTGTTTTAATGGTTAACTTCATGACAGTTGTACTAGTTACGTTTATATTAACACCGTGTTTGAAATACCCGTCAGAAAAACCATGGCAAAATTTGAAGCGTTTATAAACTGCAGCGCAAATATTTCCTGAGCCTCGGAAAGAAATTCCACAGTGTTCCTTTTGGCCAATGTAAACTTCCTGTTGAGGGTTATCGCGTGGTTATTACTGTTTGTATTGAGGCGAACAAAGCGGCTGGATTGCTATATATTAGGGTGATTCTGAAGAGGAGGAGAATGTGTGCTGGCTCTTGATTTCTTGTGATTACTGCCGGTCTGAATCTGTGCTGGACGAATTAGCGAGAGGATCATTTCTCCCGCCTGAGCGGCCGAACGATGTTCTGTGTTCTACGCAAAGGGTAACAGCTACACTGAGATGTGGTGGGAAGATCACGGGATGCCTTTCAACTGTCTCCTTATAGCTGTGTGAATATGACAAGATTCTCCCTGACAGGAAGTGAAGAATTACATCATGGCATAGATAAGGAAGGTTTATTACGTGGGAACGTGCTTGGCAATGGCTGGATATCACATGTTGAATACAGTTCTTGAAAAGGTGGTGAATTGAGATTAGAAATTATGTCGTCAACCTGATTTCAGCTATTAATCCTGTGGGGTATAAACTTAATATTAATTATAAATTTATAATTAGTCTGTATATTTTAGTTAGAGGCTGTATTTCTGAGCACAGTAACTTACCAGTTATTTGGGGCCATATTGCCAATCCCATGAGATTATCAGATATGCTCTACCCATAACCTCAAATTTTCACCGTGTCATGTTTGTCGTCACCCTCTCTGTCTTCCAAGTGGCTGCTTTCCATTTATTTCCCCGCCAAAATTTTGCTTGTATTTATTCTTTTGAGCTTATCGTAACTCCCTTCATGGAATTGTCCTGTCAGCACTCTGCCGAATGGTGACTTGTACAAATAAGGAAGGCCACGTCATGTGATATTAAGCCGGAAGTTCCGAGACTTAGGCAATCTAATCTCCTCCTAAGCTTCATCCTGTACTGTGAGACTATCAGAAACTACAAGCCTAGGTTAATGATTGTGTAGCATAGTTTATTCATTTTTATGCCAGTTTTTAACTAGTGAGAACACTGAATCCAACTGCGTTAAATTATTCTAATAATGGACCCATTAGTGTTTTGTACTGTTATCACTTTCATAATTTACAGCAACTCTTTTATACTAAATCGGTTGTTAAGACATGTTTGTCTGTATCCGGACGAAATTTCACGTGCCTAGATCCAGTGACTGTTAATTACCTCAGTCAGAGCTAAGCTAAATAAGTTCTGCGATTAGCTTTCGTGCAGCCACCATGTTGTCATTCGACTGTCTGCAAAAAATTATGACCCGCACGGATGTTGAATATGTTTTTAAAATTTATTAGGCCCGAGTACACCAAATTTCTGCACCGGACACTAAATGACACTTGCGTCGCGGCTGCTTTCCTAATTTCGAAGATCGATGGGTAATTGGGATGCTTTTTTTTTTTCTGAAGATGGACGGGCAATATGAACGCGGGGAAAGCTCTTTTCAGTAAACTATTAAAAAGCTATACAAATTTTTAAAGTTATTCGTTCCACATTAAACTACACGTCACGAAACATGGAAATCGCTTTTAAGCTTATAGGTGTGCGTAGTCCAGGAGTCCTTGATGTCCACTATTAATTGCCTGACCGACATTCCTGGGACTGGAAGAATCAGAGCGTAGCAAATATACGTGGAGAGCCCCGCTCTGCCCTCATCGGATACAGTCGATGAAATTTAGATTTGCCATAACAGCGAGACAAACACAAGTTGTTCGAAGAACGAGAATAACCCATCTCGTAAACCCACTTCATTTCCTTAAGTACGCTAAAAACGCCACAGAATGTCAGTACTTATAGGAATTATGACATCATCTGTCGTCAGTAGGCGACTTCCAGCACAGAGTTCTTGAATGAGTCTTGAATTTCTATTAAATTCACAATTCTGAGACTTAAACCATGGAATAACAAGTTACGGATAAGTGACAGACGATTTGAGACGACTGATGAAGAGCTGTGTGACAGTTTATCGTGACTGAGAGAGAAAAATCCTTTGAAATCGCTACAGGTTTCCGTGTTGCGTTTTTGCGCGCGCAATCGCTGCGGAAGAATCGATACCCGGCCCAGCGTAATGGCGGGACGGGCGGACAGTTGCTATGGCAACGCCGTGGCTGCACGATTCGATGTGTGGCGTGTATGCTATATAGTGCTGAACACAACCTTCCCGAACACGTTCCACTATTTTTATTTT